GAAAAAGGAGGTCAAGGCTGCTATAGTTCACATAGGTGGTCTCAAAGCCCCAAGACCAGATGGATTTTAGGGAGTTTTTTTATCAATCATTTTGGGAAAGCATTGTGGGAGATGTGAATGCGTTGATTAGAACCATGATTAATAGAGAGGATGACCCAAGAATGATTAATTCTACTCACATCGTGTTGATCCCAAAGGTGCAAAATCCTGAGTCCGTAACTCAATTTTGGCCTATAAGCCTTTACAAGTACTCTTACAAAGTCCTATCAAAAGTTTTTGAAAATAGGCTAAAGCCTATACTGCCGGACCTTATTTCACCAACTCAAAATGCTTTTGTTGCGGGCAGGCAAATTCAGGATAACATCGGTATTGCCCATGAGTTGTGTCATTTCCTCAAAAAGAGGAAAACAAAATGCAAGTTTGAAGTTGGTTTTAAACTTGACATGCAAAAAGCTTATGATAGAGTGGAATGAGATTTCCTAGATGTGATCATGGAGAAATTGGGATTTAATGATGTCTGGAGGAAGCTATTTACGGGCTGTGTATCCTCGGTGAATTTTGCTGTCATCCTTAACGGGCAACCAGGAAAAAAGTTCACCCATTCGCGTGGTCTTTGGCAAGGCGATCCCCTTTCTCCATATTTATTTCTTTTTGTGGGTGAGGTTTTGTCCAGAATGTTACATGGGGCTGTGGAAATGAGGTTACTGGATGAAGTTAAAATGAACTCAGGAGGGCCGGTCATCTCCCATATTCTTTTTGCAAACGATATGTTAATTTTCCTAAAAGCAGATAAGAAGAATTGTAGGAATTTGGTCAACCTATTGGAGACTTATTGCCTGGCCTTGGGATAGGGAATCAATTTGCAAAATTCGAGTGTGTTCTTTGAGGCCAGCATCTCGACTTGTGTTTCTACTGAGCTTGGCGATATCTTTGGCATGCCAATGATGAATAACCTAGGTACTTACTTGGGGGTTCTGGCCATCTGGGGGCGCTCAAATAAAATGGGACTGGCTTATGTGAAGGGTAGACTTTTAGGGAAATTACAAGGATGGAAACAAAGCTTTTTCTCAAAAGCGGGGAAGGAAGTTATGATAAAAGTCATTGCCCAAGCTATCCCCGCTTATCCCATGAACATTTTCAAGTTCCCTGCCGGGGTGTGTGCTGAAATGGATGCCATGATTGCTGGATTATGGTAGGGGGACTCAGGTGGGGCTAGAAAAATTCATTGGGTTTCAATGGAGACATTGGGCCTCCCAAAGAGTATGGGTGGTTTAGGTTTTAGAAGTTTTCAGGAATTCAATAATGCTCTTCTTGCCAAATAGTGTTGGCATTTTATACACGAACTAGATTCGCTTTGGGCTAGAACTCTTAAGGCCCGATATTTCCCGAACTGTTCTTTCTTGGAGGCTAAAAAAAGAGGTTGGGCCTCTTGGGCTTGGACCAGTCTCCTAGCAGGACGTTAACTGTTTCTTGATGGTGCTCATTGGCAGATTATGAGTGGGATGGATGTTTGAGTTTGGGTCGATAGGTGGCTCCCTTCCTTACCGTTGGGACGCCCCACCCCTTCTTGCACGGTTGTAGTGATTGGGAACACTTGGGTTAGCTCCCTTATCTGCTCGGACTTTAGAGAATGGGATATCAACTTCCTCCTCCCGTTATCTCTATTCGGGAGATATTTCGACAATCCAGGACACTCCCATTGGTGTTTCTTGAAGGAAGGATCGACTTATTTGGGCTACAAGAAAAAATGGTAATTATTCTGTTAAGTCCGAATATCTATGGTTGCAATCTCGATCTTTCACTTCTAGGGACCATAGACTTTCCTCTTCCCGAGCTGTAGTTGTTGGGGTTTGGAATTGTATTTGGAAATTTGAGGTGCATTCGAAGATCCGTCATTTCCTTTGGAACACCCTCTATAACACGACGACTACTATGGCAACTTTATACAGAAGGCGATCCGCTTCCATTCCTATTTGCCCAATCTATAGGTGCCAAGAGGAAACAATTGAACATCTTCTTCTTTTTTGTCCTTGGGTAGCTCTCATTTGGCTTGGTGGGGTGCTAATGTATCAAGTGATCAGAGATAGTAGCTTAATTGGGGTGTAGTGGTTGCAGGCTATCGTCTCCTCCAACCTAGGGTCCAATGCAAACAATAGCTGGGTGCGGGCATATGTGGGCTTCTCTTGCTGGCACATATGGAAATCCCGATGTGAGTTTGTGTTCAACCAGGTGCTCATCAATTCCTCCAAGGTTATTGCAACAATTTCCATCTCAATGGGGGAATTCGTTGTTGCATGAGGTAGTTTAAATGACACAGGGATCTCGGCTTCGGTCAGGGTGGGGCAGCACCTCAGATGGTCTTCTCCAACGGCTCCTTTTTATAAGGCTAATGTTGATGCAAGTTGATCACGGCTAAATAATACTGGTTTTGTTGGGGTTGTGGTGAGAACTGCGGATGGTAATTTTTTTGCAGCGGCAAGATACTCCATTGCGGCTTCAAGCGTCGCAGCGGCGGAGGCCTTTATGCTGCTTCATGGGTGTGACATGGTTTCCTCTTTAGGTTTGAGTTCGATTGTTTTCGAGTCTGATTCATTGGAATCTATTTCGTGCCTTAATGTTTCGATGGATGATGGTTGTTGGGAGGCTTTCCCGATCTTGGTGAAAATCAAGGAGTTGGGTGAGTCTTTTCAAGACTATCGCTGGTCTTGGGTTCCAAGATTAGCCAATGTAGCAGCAGATTCTCTTGCGTCGGCAAACAATCCGGAGATGTGTGATGTCATTTGGGCTGATAGACCCCTATCTTCGTTGGTGCATGTTCTGAACAATGACAACTTACCTTGTCCTCATTAAGTTTTCTTTGGTAGTGTAAGGGGCGACGCCTTTGCATGGTTGCAGTGTCCCCCGTCTTGTACCCCTCTACGCTATTCTTTCTCTGTTTGCTTTGTTTGCCTCGTTTGTAGGCTTTCTTTGTAAGTTCTGACATCTTTGCCCTGGAATGAAAATTCTCTGTTTCCAAAAAAAAAAAAGAAGAAACTTTACAAAATCCAAGGCTTGAAATCAAACAATTATGCCACCAAACAAATTATTAGAAGAAGAACTGGATGCTTGTTGTGCCTAAAACTATCAAATAACACCTTATCCTTTTATCAGTCATTTGAAACATTAACATTCTAGGACGATTTGACACTACACCACACAACACAACAAAATTTATTCGACAAAACCAAAAAATGAATCCAAAACCTCCACCAAAATACATTCACCCGTTATTACCTAAAGCTTGACATTGATTGTCATTTGCAAATGTGGTTTAGATAATTAAATTTACAGTTTGTAATTTACATATTTCAATGTAAATATAATTTTTTATGTTCACTAAATAAATTAAAAAAAAAAATGAAAATAGGAAATATCACCTATTTAAGTATGCGGTGGGTTTGGCCCTGCATTCTTAGTTGTGTGAGATACATGGTGGATATTAACTAATTATGCAGTATGTCATGTTATATCAATGTCAACATTTCATTTTACTAAAAATAACCCCAAAGATTGAATAATAAAACACAACTTACCAAGAATAAGCCTGCACTGCATCAACATGCACCCAAAGGAAAAATAAAATTATAAACAAAATCGCAGAGAGCAAACATGCAGCAAAAACAAAAAAAATGTTAGAAATACCGACCTTTCACTGCGATTCTAGCGGAAACATTGAGGCTGATTCAACCTACAGATCAGGCACCACCCTCTCCTAAAACCAAACCCAAACGCAAGAAAGCTAAATAACAAATGAATTGATTCGATAAATTCACAAAATTAGCCACTTGAAATCGATCGGAGACTCACCAGGAAACCCAACCTTTTCTACCTACCATTGTAAAATAAAATTGCAATACTCCAAGCAATCCAATAATCACCAGAACCTAAACCTTTCCCAGTCATTCAAATTCACTGTTGCATTCATCAGTTTGCTCATTCATTCACACACAGTTATGAAAATCTTTTCTACGACCGTTGGGAGTAACGTTTAAAAAAAAAAATTAAAGAAAATGAAATCCCTAATCTGGAATTGTGAAGGGACACAACTTTAAAAACAAATAATAATTCGAAGATTTTAATAATTCACCAACCAGAATACTCACATCCTTCGGGTTGATGACTGCCAAATGCAAGGAAGAGAAGATACATACATCAAAAGGGCCACGGTGGTTAGCAGACATATTATAAAAATTACTGTTAAGCACTCGACTACAAATCCTAGAGTCTACAAACCTTACCACGTGTCAATCGTTTATTGAACAGGATGTGTTGTTAGCACTCAAGCCCAAGAGAAGAGCCCAACCTAAAAGACTAGCCTGATAGGTGGGAGAACCCCAATGACTTAAGTATCACTACACAATTGCTTGTGTAGCTGATGTGGGATCGTAACATTGCCCACCCCTTCGGAAGCTGACGCCCACATCGGCCCTTACACTGGTGGCTTTCACTCGGCGGCGCCCTTTGGTCGTCCTGTTAAGGTAGCCATTTCCAGGTCGTCCCTTTCACAATGTTGGTTAATCTAGCTTTGATACCAATGTTAGCACTCAAGCCCAAGGGAAGAGTCCAACCCAAGAGACTAGCCTGATAGGTGGGAGAACCCCAAGGACTTAAGTATCACTACACAATTGCTTGTGTAGCCGATGTGGGATCGTAACATGTGCACTTTTAAATTTTTAACAAAACGTTTATTAGACAATAATGCTACTAAAACTAAAACTTAGTTGCATAAGAGAATCTCTCATTTGACACCATCCAATATCATAGGGTCTTAAACATACATTAGATAATTTGCATAAATAAATATATAAATAAAAAGTGACAATGCATTTTGTTCAAATTTCATAATTTGACTATCCAATCTAGTGATATTTTATTCATAGATTTTGAAACTCAATCCAATTGGACATAGGCTTGAAATTTAGTCCAAGCCAATATCAATTGCATTAATTGCGTCAGGTATATATGCTTGAAGGCTAAAGCCTTCTCAGAAATTGGAGCAATCCTATATCTCAAATTTTATTATTCAGTCACATTGTTTCCCAGATTTCTCATACATAAACATACGATTCGAATCCGATCACGCGAATCGCTACTGGACTTCTGACAATATGCTCACCATCTGTCCAAGTTAGGCTCCCAAACTTGTAACCTCCATTCACTCTCTGGGCAGAGAAGAAGGTAACTTTGAAGGAAAGAATTTGGCTGGTTATATTGAAACTTAAACTTTGAGGCTCAACTGTCATTTTTACGCCAGAAGGAGCCTGCACCAATACCGTATACTTCGAGTTAATTTGTCCCACATTTGTCACGGTTCTTGTCACAGTTGTCGCCCTTTCGAGGTTTGGAATTGTGATAGAAGGGAGGTTGAGGTTCATTCCATGACTTTTCGTTGAGCAATTTATTGTGTTCTTGGTTAATCTAGTAATCGATGCGCTAGTGTCACCGAGGGAGCAGAGGAACTGAATGTAATCCTTTGTACTACTATCGAAGATGAGCCCCGGATCGATAGCCTTGTTGGGATCAACATGTCCTCCTCCCATGTCGAAAGGGTCAGCTACCTTGCGCATCAAGCCTTCAGCCGAAATACTTGTCCCATCTGTTCCAGTTTGGGAAGCTGCAATTTTCATAAAAGTTGAATGGTTAGTGTTGAAATTACATATGGTGTTGATTATTTTGGTTTTATGACTTGCCAGTAGTGACTAGAGCTGATTTTATTGCAGCAGGAGACCAATTTGGATGTGCAGATTTAATGAGAGCTGCTATTCCTGCGACATGAGGGCATGCCATTGAAGTTCCCGATAGCAGAGCATAACCGCTGCGATGTTCAGTGTCAAGTGGGCGAAATGCAGCTATGATGTCTACTCCCGGTGCAGCTATGTCCGGCTATGTTCATAGATCAAATGACATGATGAAAATATGAAGATAAAAAACATATTAGCACTTTTATTTATTTATTTATTTCGCGAGCCTTGCAGTACCTTAAGCACTTCTGGTGTCATGGAACTAGGTCCTCTAGCGGAGAAAGACGCAACTCGTGGAGAGACCCATTTCCCAATGGTAGTTTTTGGATCACTGAGCTTTGCAATCGAATGCCTTCATAGCGTAGTGGAAAAATTAGTTTGTGTCATATATGTGAACATTTAACTTCTAACGTTGTATCGATCTTCATATGCCTTACCTTGCTCTTCTGATGTAGGAAAGTACTTGTGTCCCTACTTCATAATCTACACTGATGCATGGAATGTCGCATGAACTGAGCCCGTCATCACGAAACTGTGCGAATATAAGTCCAACCCCTCCCGCGTCCTTGACGGTGGTTGCAGCAGACTCGATGTCCTGTTGATCTGATTTTGAGAAACAAAGTACTATTTTCCCTGAGGCTAATGTTGCATTGAGACTTCCAGGCTGACAATCCTTGCTTGAAGTAACATGGAAGATTGTGACACAAGGTACATAAACACAAAGATAAACCAAGATAATAATTGAAACAAAAGAATATGTCTCACGCTGAATCATCTGTTGGGTCTATAGCTATGCGTTCAGAGTATGTGATGCTAGCGAATTCACGGTTGTATTTTCCAGCATCAATAGATTGGCCCTGCAAAACACAACCATTGCAAGAAATCTTAACCAACTGCTTTATATTCTAGACGTTTAATCCCAAGGATGATCTAGTTTACCCAAAGAGTTTGATTGTTTCCGAGTGTAATGGCTGTCGGAAAGGCCCTGTCGATTGTGGTGGCTGCAACAGTGATGAGCCATGGGGCAGTGTTTACAATGGTTTGTGAGATAGGGCCATCATTTCCTGCTGAGCAAACTACTGTAATTCCCTTCGTCATTGCATGAAACGAACCAATTGCGATTGAATCACGCTGATCAACGTATGAGAACAAAGGAATCTCATTGCCCACAGAAAGAGAGATGATGTCTACTCCATCATGAATGGCCTTGTCAAATGCCTTTAGAAGATCAGCATCGGTGCATCCTTCGAAGGCCCAGCAGGCCTTGTAAATTGCCAAGTGAGCAAGAGGGGCTCCTCCTCTGGCTAGCCCGGAAGCAAGTCCTCTGTAGTTGGCATTCTTCACAAAATACCCAGCTGCTGTAGAAGCTGTATGAGTGCCATGTCCAATTCCATCCCGCGGTGACAGAAAGTCCACATTGTCGGTTTTGTTGAGATTTTGGAACTGATTCATCGCACCTTTTCTAAACCAGCGTGCACCAATAATTTTTTTGTTGCAATTTGTGGAGTTGAAGTATTCCCCCTGCTGGCAAATGCCTTTCCAATGTGATGGGATAGGACCCATGGCGTCATCATTAAAGCTTTCGGATTCAGGCCAAACACCTGCACAGATAGTCGCATTGGTATTCGACTACAATTTTAACTGTACTAGTATTTATCTGAAGGTATGTTTGTACCTGAATCTATTACACCAATGATAGTTCCTTTGCCCATGCTCTTTGTTAAAAGATTGTCCGACGAATACTTATGAATCCCAATGAAATCCCAACTTCGGGTTGTGTGGAGCTTGTGAACGCGATTCGGGATCACTTGGACAACTTCAGGAAACTCTGCAGCTTGCTGTGTTAGTCATGATTGCTGATAAAATGGTATGCTCATAATGTAATCTCTTGCTAAATACAATACCTGCTATTTCTTCTGCCTGAGATTCCGTTAATCTTGCAGCAAAGCCGGAAAATCCATACTTGTAGCTGTATATGATCGATCTATATGCATCTTGTTTGCTTCAAATAACCCAAGGGAGATTTTTATCTTTGTCTTCCATATCACCGAATGCAAGTTATATCGACATTAGAACTAAAGAAACGAATAATGTAGGATAAAGCCATACCTTCCAAACAAGGTGGTTAGCATTTTATGATGGAACTTTTTTGTCAACGCAGGATCATCATATTTCTTCTCCCCCAGATATACAATGTGCACCTGAAAACATTCCTTTGTCAAAAACCCGTGTCCAAAGAACGAAAAGAAAAAAGGAAATGGAGCTAAAACTTGAAAATACGCAATACACTCACTTCGCTTGTGGCATTAACAAATGTTACAGAGACATGGAGATAGTGTTGAAGTAAACAAAGAGCAAGAACCACAAGAGAGTAGTTGTTTTGTCTGCACATCCGGTTTCTTCTTGTATCCGAATCCATCAACGTATGGATCAAAGACATGAAAACTCTTGTGATTTCCTACTGCAGGTATTGCTTGATGGTAAAATCTGCAGACTTTTATAATCCAGCCATTCCCTGCATCTCCAAACTATAATGCAATAGTCCTAATGGACATGTGAAAAGTGGAAAATCCTTTTTACTGTTCTACTTCTGCCCTTTAATATTTGCTCAATCCATTGAAAAAGATACAGGACCAAAGACTTTCCAGTGTAAAGCTCCACATACGAAAATCATGCTTTACCATGTGAGGGTATCATTTCGGGTAGAAATTTTTTGCTCAAAACTTTGAATAATTTGCTTTTATCTACTTCCCCAGCCCTTTGTTGTGTCAACTTGAACGGTAGGGCACACACTTTCGGTGATGTATGCCGTCAACCAAGACCACCATTGCCAAGCATAATCTTTTCCAGCTCGTACAAATGAAGAGATTCTTTGGACAAGATATTTGTTCTTCATTAAAGGACGGATATTGGGTTGATAATGCATTGAGAAAATATTGATAAGTTTTGGGCTGGTTTGGTGTTGCTATGCTTTGAAAAAAAACTGGTTCTGCTGTGTTGTGAGAATAAGCAGCTGTGAAATAAAGCAGCAGAGTGTTTGGTAAACTTTTTTTTAAAAGTGCTTTTGAAATAAAGAAAAAACAGTATTATAGTGTTTGATAAATTTTTATGTAAAACAAATGTGAAAAAAAGCTGGTTTTTCAAAGCTGGGTTTTGCAGCTTTGTGTTTTTGGCTTTTTTTTTCATCTAAAACTGTGGAAAAAAAAACAAAAGCTGAATGTTTACCAAACATAAAAAAACTCCCAGTTTTTTTTGATAGCCACTTTTTTTCAGAATCACCTCAATACTAAACTAGGGCTTGATGTTGACATGCATCAAGAGAAAAAGTATGAGAATATGTATCGTATTATACACAAAGAACAGACGTTCTGCCTAGAGAAAAAAGTATGTCAATGTGTGTTATATTATACACAAAGAACGTACGTCATTTCTAGAGAGAAAAAAGTAGGTCAATGTGTATCATATTATACACTTTGTTGTCTTGGCATTTTTGTTTATGTGCAGTGTAATTGAAGGATGTAGAGTTTTAGGTAAATCATTGTGGTGCTGTAGTGTATTGAAGTAGGGCCCCTTATACACCTTTATTGGACTGCCTTTTATTTTTGGGGTCGAAATTGGACTGCCTTTTTATGAGAGGGCTGACGTGAGATTCCCCAGCCCACAAAGTTAAGAGCGCTGCTTTTGCCTTACATTAGTGGGACTCGGTATTCTTTTTCAAGATAAAGCAGGATTGTTTTGGGACGAAAGGCATTTCTGTAGAAGCCCCATAATGTTTGAAAAAGGAAGCATGATGACAACATAAGGTGAGTGTGATGGAGAAAGTTGATTATATCACCAGTTGTATATAATTATATGTTAATTATGTATTACGTAATTAGATTTTTGCATTAGTTGTATATAAATATATATCTATTTTTCTCATCATATGTTACGTGACGAGAGAGATAAACATTAATACTATACAACTTCAGTGACATTCAAGAATTTCTCGAGTAAGATGACGTTAGAAAAGTTGCGGTTACAACTGACATTTTTCAGACAAATTGAGCATGTTCATCATTAAAACTTAATGCTAAGAAAATTTGGTGAGATTCCTAAAGCAGGTTTTAGCCCCTTAATCTCCCCACTAAGGAACCTGGTTCTCTGTTCCCCATTGCACCCACACAAAAAAAGAGAATCAAATTCCTTTTCTCTCCACTTTCATGAGAATTTCAATTCCACTTTGAAAGACAATGGAGTCTATAGTTGTTCATCAAGCATTCATACACTCCCTCATATTATTTTCAACTGTGCATTGTACAATCTACAAACTATGCTCACAAAAGAGAGGGGAAGCAGACCTAATCTTTGGAAATATTCCCGTTATTATACGTACTCACTTATTCGATCATGTGTCTATATTAATACAATTTACTGGATGAGTATATGATCTGCTCAATTGTCATCAGTATAGGATCGTATGATTTGTGTTCTAACAGATATGGGACTTGTCACAGCATGCACCCCATCAGTCCATGTCAGGCTTCTGAAAAAGTATGCTGTGTTCACTCGGTAGGTTGTGGAAACCGCAACTGAAAAGGAAATTGTCTTAACTGTAGAGTTGAAGACCAATGTCTCTGGCCTGACGACTACATTGATGCCTGGTGGAGGGTCAATTTAGGCTTTGTATGTTGAGTTGCTAGGACCAACGTTCGTTACACTTCGAGTGGGTGTTATAGGATTTCTTAGATTTGGAATGGTAATTGAAGGCATGTTCACATCAAGAATTGAAGCCTTTGGAAGTTGGAACAGGACATGATATGGCTTGTTTAACAAGTAGAGAAATAGCTGAGGTATTGTAGCCAAACGCACAAAGGTAGCTTATGTAGTCATTGGTGTCCATATCGTATGAGGCCAGGGTTCGCTGCCTTGTTCAGGTTCAATAATCCTCCTCCATAATCAAATGGATCCGCAAGCTTTTGCGCTGCCCCATCAGCAAAGATTGGCTCTCCAAATGGATCAGTCTTCCATGCTGCAAAAAAAAAAAAAAAAAAAAGTTTTGCTATTATTAATGTGCTGATCTAATATCGAAACCATCCAATTTCGCTACATTATCAACACTTACTAGTGGACACTAACTATTATGGTTGTAGATCAACCTGTTGTGACTAGTGCTGATTTTATTGCAGCAGGGGACCAATCAGGGCGCAACGATTTTAGAAGTGCCACAATGCGTGCAATGTGGGGAGTTGCCATTGATGTCCCTGATAGCAAGGCAAATCCTCCATCCATTGCGGGATCATAAGAACTGGCCGCTAATATACTCACACCAGGCGCTGCTATACTTGGCTGCGACCAACAAAAAGCTATATTCAGCTTAATCTAAAGGTGCATTGCTTAACAGGACTAATGTGGTACCAAATTCTACCTTCAAAATTGCAGGAGCGATGGAATTAGGTCCTCTAGCAGAGAATTTAGCAACTTTACTCGATACAGGCTTTCCCTTCAGTGTCTTAGACGTGCTCAGTTCTACAATAGGAGATTTGTGTACCACAAAGAACAACAACAACAACAACAACAACAAAGTCTTTTCCCACTAAGTGGGGTCGGCTATATGAATCCTAAAACGTCATTGCGCTCAGTTTTGTGTCATGTCCTCCGTTAGATCCATGTACTCTAAGTCTTTTCTTAGGGTCTCTTCCAAAGTTTTCCTAGGTCTTCCTCTACCCCTTCGGCCCTGAACCTCTGTCCCGTAGTCACATCTTCGAACCGGAGCGTCAGTAGGCCTTCTTTGTACATGTCCAAACCACCGTACCGATTTTATCTCATCTTTCCTTTAATTTCGGCTACTCTTACTTTACCTCGGATAACCTCATTCCCAATCTTATCCTTTCTCGTGTGCCCACACATCCCACGAAGCATCCTCATCTCCGCTACACCCATTTTTTGTACATGTTGATGCTTCACCGCCCAACATTCTGTGCCATACCGCATCGCTGGCCTTATTGCCGTCCTATAAAATTTTCCCTTGAGCTTCAGTGGCCTACGACGGTCACACACCACGCTAGATGGACTCTTCCACTTCATCCATCCAACTTGTATTCTATGGTTGAGATCTCTATCTAATTCTCCGTTCTTTTGCAAGATAGATCCTAGGTAGCGAAAACGGTCGCTTAAGTATATAAATGGATAGAGACATGAAAGTAAACACAAGATGTACGTGGTTCACCCAGATTGGCTACGTCCACGGAATATAGGAGTTCTCATTAATTGTGGAAGGTTTACACAAGTACATAGGTTCAAGCTCTCATTTCGTGAGTATAAGTGAATGATTTAGTACAATTGACATTAGGAAATATTGTGGGAGAATGATCTCGTAATCACGAAACTTCTAAGTACCGAAGTGTGGTATCGTCTTCACTTGCCTTATCTGTCTCATAGGTAGATGTGGCATCTTCTCTGGAAGTACTCTTCCTCCATCCAAGGGTGGTATCTTTAACTGGTGGAGATGCACAAGGTAATGTATCGATTTCACTTGAAGCTTACTTGTAGTTTCAGGCTTGGTCAAGCGCGATACAAACCATGTAGTAGGAGTCCCCCAAGTCGCCGAGCTAGGGGATCTGCTGAAAGAGGTGACAGATAAGGTAAGCAATCAGAGCTCCAAGCAACCAGTCCTAGATCAGAAGTTTGATTTCGAGTTCCGGCTGATTGTTCTCATTCTCCCTATCTTGCAGGCAGCATGAAGGATAAAGAAAAGAAAAATGAGAAGAGATGATATGAGATACTTTTGCTTTTGAAGAAGTAACTTTTCAACAGGCTTATTCTTGAACTGGGCTGGAGGGTTTTCTGGTTTCCTCCAGAGTGTAAGGCCGACTAAAGAATTTGAGGGTCAAAACAAGTCCATCAAATCTAGAGTACGTTCAACCCTGCTGATATGGGATACTTTTGGTTTTGACAAAGTAGTGGATGTATCGGCACGTGTGCTGTTACGCTTATCTCCACATGCTTCTTTGTATCCTTCTCACTTGCCCTATCTGTTCCTCAGACAGATGCGGTATCTTCCCTGGAAGCATAAGATGTTGAAGATGAGTACTCGAGAGCAATGCCAGGTAAGTAATCAGGTAAAGGGTTCCAGGCAGTCAGTTCCTGACTGGAAGCTTGATTCCAAGTGCTGTCTGATTGCTCTCTTTCTCCTTGTCTTGCAGGTAAGAACAAGGCCAAAGGAAAAGACAGGGAAAAAGCATGATATGGGATACTCTTGCTTTTAACCCTGATGATATGAGATATTCTTGCTCTGGTATAGCTTGTTTGCAGAGGTATTATCGGGGGGAAAGAAAGCTGAATATTTCGAAATGCTTCGTTTGGAGTGCCCTCTCAGATATGAGAAAGGGTTGAGCATTTTTGCAGGTCTGCCTGTCCGTTGGGGATGTAGGTCGACATATATAGGAGTCTCCCTAGTAACAAGTAGTAATGCTATTCCTTTACCCTGCTTGGTCATAACACGGTAGTGAGAGCTGACAGCTTCACATGTTTTAACTCTGTCAGAGCACTTTGAAAAAGTGGTATGTGGTATCTGGAAAGCTGTTGTTGTGTGTGAAGATTACAAACAAGCAATCCTGTCGGGGATATGGCTCTCGAGATTTGAAGAATGATGCCTCTTCGATTTTTGAGAAAGCAATCCTACTGGGGGTCTGGCTCTCGAGATTCGGAGAGCGGT